TTCTCTCCAACTTCTTTAATCCCATGCTCCACATATTCAAATATAAACTGACTTGTGTGTGCCTCACTTGAACATTCTTTAAAAGATAGAAAAACAGTGCCTAATCTTGAATTTACACACAAGTTCATGACGCTTCTTCTCTTCCTATCTGTCCATGCGTCAGTCATAATTGAGCAGCCATTTTGTTTCCATAATGCCTCATGTTCCTTCAAACTGTCCTTGACGCGATCAACCTCTTTTTTCAAATATGTTTCACTCAGTTCATATCTATTTGGTGTCTGCGCTCCCGGACCTAATTGACCAGCAGCTTCAATCATCAACTTGAAGCTATCTTTCTCAAGAACATGAAATGGAACAGCTGCTTCATACGCCCATCTACATATGTACTCTTTCACTCGGTTCACCATCTCCTTGTCAAATGCCTCAATTATACGTTGTTGCGCCGGGCCCCTTCTTGAACTCAAAGAAATTTCAGGATTGATTTGGTTAGCAAACTTATCCATAGGGCCAATTGGACGAGGTGGCCTCATTTGTTCAGACTCTTGCAACTCATCAACATCAATACTATTTGTAGGCGTATTACTCAAACTCTCATGTGAACCAATGTTTACCTCCGCTCTTATATTAAGTTCTTCAGCTCTCTTGTTCTTTTTTTTTTGTTCTTCGCCATAATGAGAGCATCTCTACATTTTATTTGATCTTCTTTTGAAGCTATGGGGCATTTGCTAACATTCCCTGAAATACCGGCAATATGCTCTTTGATCCGATAAACCCCACCAGACATTACTTTCTTGCACAATAGACATTTAATCTTGTCCAATGACTTAGTAGGATCATTAAGTACCCCATAGTCCCAACCTACATCATTGGACTTTCTTTTTATTATAGTTGACGTTGTAGATGGTTGAGAAGATCCAACACTTTGAGTTTGATTTGGTGGTTGAGAAATATCTTCACTTCCCAATTCCATTTCCTAATTAATAATAGTATAATACTTAATAGTTAATACTTAGCAAATTGAATAACAAATTAACAATATACTAATATAGTAATATAGGCATATAGCAATTGAATACCAAATTAGCAATTGAATAGCAATATAGGCATATAGCAATTGAATAGCAAATTAGCAATATAGCAACTGAAAATTATTAATTATATAAATAATTAAATATATAACTAAATATTAATTATACAAAAGATGCCATCCTATTCAATTATTCAACACATTCAAATTGCACATACAAAACATACAAGCAAATTTCAGTGAATAGTGAATACCAAAATAGGCTTACCTGGAGTGCGGACTGTGGGAGGCTGTGTGGCGGCGTCGGCGGTAGGCGGAGGCGGCCGGTGGAGGCGGGAGCGATGTGCGGACTGCGGAGGCCGGACTGCAAGGGTTTCTCCGTTTCTGCCTTTCTGGTCTTCAGAATCGCGATTTGAATCGCGTTTTTTTTTTTGGGTTAATCGCCAAAACGACGTCGTTTTGGCGATTAACCCAAAAAAAAAAAAATAAAAAAAAATAAACCGGGGTTCGGCCGGCCGCGGAGATAGCCGATTACGGCCTTCTTCGCGGCGGCGCAATGCCGCCTAGCGCCTAGGCGCCGATTAATCGGCGCCTAGGCGCGATTTTTGCAACACTGTTAATTATACAAAAGATGCCATCCTATTCAATTATTCAACACATTCAAATTGCACATACAAAACATACAAGCAAATTTCAGTGAATAGTGAATACCAAAATAGGCTTACATGGAGTGCGGACTGTGGGAGGCTGTGTGGCGGCGTGCGGCGGTAGGCGGAGGCGGCCGGTGGAGGCGGGAGCGGTGTGAGGCGGGAGCGGTGTGCGGACTGCGGAGGCCGGACTGCAAGGGTTTCTCCGTTTCTGCCTTTCTGGTCTTCAGAATCGCGATTTGAATCGCGTTTTTTTTTTTTTTTTGGGTTAATCGCCAAAACGACGTCGTTTTGGCGATTAACCCAAAATAATAATAATAATAATAATAATAAACCGGGGTTCGGCCGGCTAGGCGGTCTAGGCACCGCCTAGCCGGCCGGCCGCGGAGATGGCCGATTACGGCCTTCTTCGCGGCGGCGCAATGCCGCCTAGGGCCTAGGCGCCGATTAATCGGCGCCTAGGCGCGATTTTGGCAACACTGATCGGTACCCTCGTGTACTATGAAACGGTGGTCTTGTTGGTGGTCATTGGTGGGGGACGACGATCCCAGGAGGGAAAATGTTGGACTTGGTTGTACAGGGGTCTTGGAGGTAATGGTTGGAACTAGAGATAAGGTTGGGGGTAGCCATAAGGTTGGAACCGGGCAAAAGAAAGGCATCTCAATTCGTGATGGGTGATGTCACGAAGGCTTGTGTAGTCGTTGTTGTGTATTTCTCTATTTGTGACATGTGTTGTCACAAAGGCATGTGTTGCCAACGGTTGTGTCCTTATTCTCTTGTGATATGCATGTCGGGTGTTAATCTACTATGTGATGGTAGTTTATGCCCTGAGCCGTCCTCGTGAGTCGTTATTGCTTCTTGTTGTATTGGGATGTGTTCCCTTATCTTTATTGTGAGTGCAAAGAGTCTTGTGTTTGACTTCTATCTTGGCTTTGAAATTGATATATATTATATCTCGTTTCGCAAATGATTTTATATATATAAACTATCTACATATGATATTTCAAATGTATTGGTGGGTTACCAGCATCATTCGCTGACCGGGCGTTGTCCCATATATATTCGTGTTCTTTCAGGTGCTGAGTAGATGAGAGCGCCGTCTAGAGGCAGTTAGTGTAGACCCCTTTCCCTTGTGATGGTTTGGGCCTGCGTGCCTTTGATTAGACTCTAGACTTTATGTTGTTGACTTTGCTTTTGGGATTGATAGATTATGTTGCAGATGTTTACGCCTGTGCGTTCACCGTTGTGTGAGCGTGGCATAACACTCTACGTTTTCCATCTATTTCATGCTGAAGTCTTCCGCTGTATATACTTTTATGGTTAGAATTATCTGCATGTTTAAGGTTTAAATTGGTATGGAAATCGGGGGTGTTACAAATATGGTATCATCAACAACTTTGAACAAAATATCCTTGGATGGCAATGTTGTCCAAGTTATTTCGTATCCTATTGTCAAGCGTCTATTCCGGCTTAGGCTTTGGAATGTAAGATGGTGCATCCGAAGTTAGGAGTGATGCCATGTTCACCTTAAGAATTTCAGTAGGACCACTTGAAATGACTTCTCACATTTCATCATGTAATACAGATAAATGTACATGCAAACGTATTTTCTTGTCATTAAATTTATCAAGTGAGAATAATTGGAATGGATCAGGTGCAAGGAGTGTTTCCCGTGCGGTTGTGCGGGTGGACGTACATTAAGCATTAAACTGACGCACGTTAAGTACACAACACACGCATATTAAGCACACAAACAAATTAAAACACCTTAAGAACACAAACCCATGCACCTTAAGCACAAAACTCACGCACCTTAAGCACAAACCTCACGCACATTAAGCACAAAACTCACGCACCTAAAGCAGAAAAATACACGCACCATAAGTTTCAACAACAACTCACATTAAGAACACACTCACACACATTAAGTACAAAACTCACGCACCTTAAGCACAAGATTCACGCATCTTAAGCACAAAACTCATGCACCTTAAAGTTTCAACAACAACTCACGTTAAGTACACACTCATGCACATTAAGCACAAAACTCACGCACCTTAAGCACAAGACTCATGTACCTTAAGTACAAAACTCACGCACATTAAGCACAAAACTCAGTACACACTCACGCACATTAAGCACAAACCTCACGCACCTTAAGCACAAGACTCACGCACATTAATCACCCGCACAACCGCACGGGAGACACTCAACCGGACTGAAACTTAATTCTGTATATATATATATATATATATATATATATATATATATATATATATATATATATATATATATATATATATATATATAGACACACACACACACACACACTAAACTTAATATTATAAAAAATTAAATAAAAATTAATTTCAGTTAAGTCTTGTTCGTTAACCGAATCAAACACAAAATGGAATGAAAGGAATAACATAAAAGATAATCCTCAATCAAACATGGTTATATACATACCTCAATTTTAACTAAACATGGTGTGCCTGTCTGTATGAATTGACAATGAATAAAAAATGCGCACAGTTTCTAGCCGTCAATGCAATCCAAATCAACAGCTCAAATTGAATTTTAATTTAAAAAAAAAATGCGCGGTGGCATATTTATAATTTTGAGTAAATAGTCAGCTTGTGTTTTGTATCCGAGTGCACCTTTGTCCTTCTTCGAGTGCACATTTTTCTTTCTTCAAGTGCATACTTTTTCTTCATCGAGTGCATCATTTTTATTTCAATACTTAGTTTCTATTTTGAGTGTACATCTTTATACCTTTGAGTGCAAATCTTTTGGCCTTCAAGTGCATGTTTTCCTTTCTAAGAGTGCATAATTAATTTCTTTCGAATTTTACCTTCTAGTGATCCTCTTTATGCTTTCAAGTGCACAATTTAATGCCTAAAAGTGTATTTGAGTCTTACTATTGTGTAAAAAACAAACAAAAAAAAAAAAAAAACAAAAAAACAAAAAAACTTAGCATTCAAGTGGACTCTTTTTTTCGGTGCAGATTTTTTACCTTAAGTGCACAATTTTATGCCTTCAAGTGCATGTTTCTTTGCCTTCAAGTGCACAAATTCTAAGATGTAATTGTGATATCTTGTGCATTCTTTTCAATAACATATAACTAAATTTCTAATGAAATTTGTGAGATTTACAAACGATTTGTATGGGTAATTGGTTTAATAACACTTCATTGAATAACCTCCCTTTTTACCATAAATTGCATCAATTGCACATCTATTTGCCTTCGAATGCAATTTTTTTGGTCTTCAAGTGCACATTTTTTACCTTCAAGTGCATGATTTTGAACCTTCAAGTGCATGGTTTTGAGCCTTCAAGTGCACATACCGCATTTTCGCTCGGGAAGTGACATGTGCACCTGATCCTAAACCTATATATATACAACAAAAATGGCGACTAGACTAGACTAGTCTAGTCTGATATAGTCTATTGCATCCATCTCGTCATCTTCATTGACATTATTTTCCTCTTCTTATTAGCTTGATGCTTAGCTGCAATTCTCAACTTCCTCTTAGCATTTCGCATTGGATTTATAACAGCCATGAGCTTTTCTTCCTGTTTCCTTCTATCTCTCTTTGCTTTCAGGTTTTTCCTTATTTGGCTGTAAACTTGAACAAAACTCTGCATTCCCAACACATCTCGTATGCTTTCACAAACTTCCTGTGCTAATTGCTTCACATCATCTGAAGAGTATAATAAAGTGGAATTGCATCACTCACTATGTATGATATAATATATTCAAGCTAAGGGGAGAAACTCAAAACAATATTAGAAAGAAATATGATATTCATCAACCACTGCCAGGCCAGCAAATCTCTAATAATCATTCAAGAATCAATAATGCAAATGAAAGTTAGTTTTACATGTAGTTCAGTTCTGGAATTCTGAATCTTCAGAACTTGTGCTGGAGGCCCAGCACAGCAAATTAATTAGCAATTGGTGGGGGAGATTAGAGGAGAGTCTAGGGTAAGAAAATTGGGGCAAATTTTTCTGTGGACCATGGTCCATACAGCTGTGTGCACCATGAATCAAAGATACATTTTTAATATGTTAAAAGTATTATTTGTGTATTGAATGTAAATTATGTAACAGTATACAAAATAATGTACTTTCAATATTAAAATAATGTATTTTTAGTATATTAAAAATGTACTTTGTACTTTTTATTTATGATTCACACAATTGTGTAGACTATGATCTATGGAATAATGATTCAAGAAGCGGTGAGGCTATGTTTGGGGAAGGGGTTTGTTGGGGCACACAATGCGATCCCTTCAACAATGACGTATGTGACAGAGACCAGGGGATAGAGGATCTTTGATGGCTGAGAGCATAGTATTAACTGAACACAGAAGTGGAGTAGAGGAAGGTACAAGTGTCAATTGATTTGAACCACCTAGGGGCCGGGCTTTATAATAGTAAGAATGAGATGTGCAAAAAGTTGTTTATCATAGTTTTGATGGGGGTATTCTCGTCACTAAAAATAAGGCCTGGTTCATTTATTCAGCGGTTATTTAATTTATCATAGTTTTGAATTTTGATGGGGGTTTTCAGCCTTAGCTTCTCCAGAGGAAAAACATCCCGAACCCAATTTTGCTAGAAACCAAAACTTGAACAAGTATCCAACCACCCCCACAGAGAGTCAAGTATAGAAGATTCACCTGAAATTACTTTCCCAGCTTGTCCTTCACAAACTTTGTATAGAGGCAGCAGGATTTGATAAGCATAGCTCTGGCAATCAACCTCATCTTCAGACTTTGATAATGCACTCGATTGATCAAGAAGTTTGATAGACATTGATTTGAAACAGTTGAAGACGATTCTTGTCTGCACATATTAATAACTAGATAAGTGTATGATCATTGATCGATAAGAAACTTAAATAATTGGATGGGGATAAAGAAAAGAATAGTAATAAATCATTTTTAGACACTACTAAAACCACGAAAAGTAATGAAAGTTATTTTCCCAGATAAATAAAGAGAAAAGTATATTGTTCAGTAGCAGAGTTAGTTGCATAATTCTTAATGTTACATATTTTACCAACCTGCAGTGCCTCCATCTGAATAGGAATCTTCCCCATTCTCTTAAGCAGACAGGAGACGATCATAGAGCCTTGGTGCTCGGTTTGCTGTTCATTGCCCTGAGCACTGTAATAAGAGCTGAAAGCTGTAAAGATGCTTCTTCCCTTCTTTGGATCAAGCAAACTAAAAGCTTTCAGGAAGCGGTTTGCTCCTCAGGGCCAAAGGCAGAATGACCACTGCCATGTACATGGGTTGACAGCTGAGAGGAGCCTAATGAAGCCTTTAAAAAACCTAGAATAAAATTGCTAACACCTCTAATAAAACCTAAAATAAAATCGAATGCTGGCAGCTAAGTTATTTCAAGTGTTGATTGACAAGTATATATATCGAAGAACAAATGGCATTCCACTCAATACATATGTGTAAACATGCATACAAACAAAGTTGTACACAATCGTGTGGCTTAAAAACATACAACATAAAATTTGGAGTAATAAACTTTATTAGATCTTTTCATGTTTGCGAATAAGTACTATTTAAGGCAGTCATTCAATTTGAAACAAATAACTCATGATAAACTAGTCAAAAGTTAAGTTCACACCAGCATGTCCCTTTTCACTGCTAGCTGTATCAACAGGTAAAAGGAAAGAGCACTTTGATACCTGAAGCTCCTTTGTGAAGCATAATGCAGTAAATTGATGATCAATCTTCTCTAATAAAAGTTTTATTATAAAACTAATGAATAGTATACTTCCTTCCAGAGGGGAACTACTTCATCAGATAAGCCCAGTTGTCTATTCGCAAGAGCAGTACAAGCAGATTGCAAGATTTTTTTCGTAACAGATAAAACATCAGAAACATACTCCTAAAAACTGTTACCCATCACTTCCACCAATAATCCCAAAACCTGAAAAGCAAAATAATGAAGGCTTGCAATAAGCAAATACCTATGGCATAAAAGGAAACAAAAGGTGGAGACACCTCTATCACAAATCCGAGAGGATTTCCATTTTCTTTTGGGTCTTTTTTAATTGTGATGTGATAAAATTAAAAGTTTAAAACAACTCAACTGAAATCTCTCAATCACAGGAAATAGCAATATGCACCATCAAGTGAAATGCATAGCATACTACAGAACTGAACCAGGAGAAACAGCACACTAACGTGAAATTCAAAGAACTTAGTTCGACAATACATAATACTAAACTACCAATTGTCAGTTATCACAAGACAATAAGGTGACACGAAACCAGGCCAAGTTCAATTCCATATTAAACAGCACATGTTTCCCATACATCAAATTTGTCATTGATGCTCTGATAGAGGGGGGGAAAAAAAAGATGAGAATACTATGCGACAGCAGTGAAAATGAATCTGATTTTCATATAGATGAAACTGGCCTGGTGTTGAACTCCTCAGGTACAACATTGAGAGCTTTATTGTTATTAAGTTATAATAAAGACAACACAGCAAGGACATGGTGTAAACAATAATGGGAACTATGATCAGAATACAAATACAACAAAAAGATGCAATATCTATAGAACACTTATGCACAAAATGCTAAAAGAAAGGGCAGAGCTACATGTCTTTACCTGTGCTGCAGAACTCCATAAATGCTGTTTCTCACCCCTATACCAAGAAAAACTATATTCAATAACAGACGTAAGTGACCCAAATTTCTTCATGTTCTCTGCAAGTAGCTTTATGGCAACACCAGCCATAGACCTGACTTTGTTATCTTGGTCATTAGCCAAGCATATTACCAAATGCATAAAAATAGTCTGAGACTGCTCTTGTATTCTGTCTGGAATTTTCACTATGATAGCACGAAGCATTTCAAGAACAGCTTCTCTACCAGTTGAATGTTCATATCTGTTAAGAATTAAGCTCACATTAAGCAACCAATTGGTAGAGAGAAACATGCAAAACTTGAAAGTAGTAAGTGTAAGTCATGATTCTTGCCTCAGATTTGCAAGTAAGGAATCAAGATGTTGCTGAAAGCGTTTCACCGAAATTGGATAGCAATCTAAGAACTGTAGAAAAATCTTACTGCACTTCCTGCGAATTGATTCAACTTGACTGGTCACCATCAACTCTGCAACACCCTTGACGACATCATCGATTTCAGGAGCCACCAACTTTTTCTTTATTATAGCTTTCAGAAGAGAGAGAGCCACAAATGAGGGATTTCTTTCAAGATCAACAAAAAATGGGAATTGGATAAGTGATTGAAGTTGTGCTTCAGAAAGTGTCATTTTGGTATTTTGCAGAAGCACTGTTAATAATTTAATACATGATTCCATCAGTGGAGTACTGGCATTTACTGAACCTTGGGCAATATCCAACAGTGAATTCTTTATCCAGTTAGCTTCATTTTCAAGGGTTGGCAAAGGTAGCCTGACTATTGAATATAGGGATTTTAGCGCTGCAAATATGATATTTTCATATTTTGAACTCAAACAATCACCTAATAGCCTGACAAAAGGGTCTAACATTGATAACAACTGTTACAAAAATGAAGAGAGAGAGAGTTTCTAATGTGCTGTCATATATTATATCAAACTCTCATAGGAATAGAAAATACAAAGCCCTATAAATAGGTACTAGAAAATTATGAATAGGAAACAAGTTTCCATATGTCCTACATACCTAAAACCCTAAACTGCCTAATATATAGAGATTCTATATATCAAATATATATTCCTTAACACCCCCCCCCCCCCCCCCCCCCCCCCCCCCCCCTCAAGTTGGAGCATTTATTTTAATAATGCCCAACTTGTTACACAAATGAGTGATAACCCAAAATAACTAAATAACTAATAACTCAAGTCCATTTAGGACACTCTTTTGACCGAAGACCGAACAAGCTTGAGATTGGATACTCATACTCCCCCTCCAACGAAAGCTTCGAACGCCACGAATCCCACGAACAATGAGTGAACACAAAGTGGCCGAACAAGCTTGAAATTGGATACTCCCCTTGAAACAAAAGCTGTGAACGCCACCAATACCTACGGACAGTTGGGTGAACTCAACATGGTGGACCGAACAAGCTTGGGATTGAACCTTCCCCTGAACCAGAAGCTTGGACTCCACCAATACCGCAACTCCGGGTGAACCAAAAGTGGACCGAACAAGCTTGGACACACAAAGTAAAGAAGACAAACTCCAAACTGGAGGACACAAATTCTTTACTAGCAAAAGGGAAGTATCTTGACTAACAAAAGGGAAGCATGCTCCGATCAACGAGCATAAAAAAGGAGACAACACCAAAACGAAGGAGAGATAACACCAAACCGAGGCAGCACCAAAACAAGATAGGACAAAAACAAGACAACACCAAAACACAAAACGAGACAGCACTAAAACACAAAACAAGACAGCACTAAAACACAAAACAAGACAGCACCAAAACGAGACAAACTGACCGTAGAACAAAAGTCAATGGTCCAAACTAAGTCCAGAACCAAGACAAACAGAATTAGGCGACTCAGGAACAAGTTGACCAAAACATTTTTTTAATCGTTGGAGGAGCCTCACGTGCCGGCGGCACGTGAGGCTCACGCGCTAGTCAAAACGTGACGACAACAAAGCGGAAGAAAAAATTATCGTAAAGGCTCAGATACCATGTTACGAAAATGAAGAGAGAGAGTTTCTAATGTGCTGTCATATATTATATCAAACTCTCATAGGAATAGAAAATACAAAGCCCTATAAATAGGTACTAGAAAACTACGAATAGGAAACAAGTTTCCATATGTCCTACATACCTAAAACCCTAAACTGCCTAATATATAGAGATTCTATATATCAAATATATATTCCTTAACAACAACTTCTCATCCTCTTTGTCTAGCTCCATGTTCCTTAGGTAGTTCTGCAGTATCCCAACAGCAAATTCTGTAATCAGATAAGAATATTGCCGATCAACACTGATCAATCTATTTGAATTAGTGTTTTCAGCCCTCACTTCATCTTTATTTTGTTTGCCTTCATCTGAGATGAGTGTGTCTTCATGGCCAAAATGTTCATCCTTGTTAGACATTATTCTGATAGGATTATATTCAGCTAATCTTAAGGATTCTGTGTATATTCTGATAGGATTATATTTGACTAATCTTAGGGATTCTAAGTATATTCTTAGTGATTTATTTTCCTTAGTTAGTACATGTAGTCTTGTATAAATAGGTGTCTCCATTTTATTGAAAGATATGAAATACATGAAGTTACATGGTATCAGAACCTCTGTAAGAAAAAAAAAAAAAAAAACAAATTTTTTTTTTCTCCCGTTCTCTTCTTCTGCGCGTGAGTCTTCTTCCGCTGCTGGAATCTGCTTCAGTTTCCCTTCCCAAGGTCGTCTGGCCTTCCACAACACTGCTCTAAGCTCGGTTTTGGCATTGAAGGTCCCGGTAATATTTTTCTGTCTTCTCTTTTGGTCGACAGTGTTGTGCTAGCTGTTTGGTTTGTGTGGGTTTGAAGCATTGCTGGTTGTTTGGTTTGTGACTGCCTGCTACCTATTTTGTGTGGGTTTGGAGAATTGCCTCTGTTTGTTTGGTTTGGGTGGTTTGGGTTGTCTAGCATAATTACTGAAAATCGGTCTCTTGTTGTGTCTGATATTCTTCCAATAAATGCAAGAATCACAGAACACAAACTAAATGGCTCAAATCATTTGGATTGGAAACGAACCATTAAAATATATACGCGTAGTATTGACAAAGATGGTCATATGACTGAAAATCCACCTGAGGATGACAAAACTAAACAAACTTGGTTGCGTGATGATGCTAAGTTATTTCTTCAAATACGGAATTCAATTGAATCTGAGATATTTGGTTTTGTCAGTCACTGTGAAACTGTAAAAGAGCTTTTAGACTACCTTAATTTTTTGTATTCGGGTAAGGGCGACATTATTCGAATCTATGATGTTTGTAAGACTTTTTATCGGGCCGAAATGCTTGACAAACCTCTGCAGACCTACTTTATGGAGTTCAAAAAAACTTATGAGGCGCTTAATGAGTTAATGCCATTCACGTTGGATATAAAAGAGCAGCAGAAACAGCGAGAACAAATGGCCATCATGAGTTTTTTGGCTGGCCTTCATCCTCGGCTAGAACCAGCCAAATCACAGATATTGTCTAGAGCAGAACTCAAATCGCTATCTGATGTATTCTCTAGAGTCTTACGCGCAGAGACCTACCATCCCCTTCAGTCAAGTAGCGTCCTTGTCAGCCAGAAGTCAAAGGAGGAGCCTGTGAAGTCATCATATCACAGTAGGGATTCTCATGGACAGCAGTCTAATACAATCATTTGTCACTATTGTCACAGACCGGGGCACATGAAGAAGGATTGCCGAAAGCTTCAGACTAGAAATCAGGGAAATCGGTATGCTAATGTGGTGTCTTCCGAAGCTAATAGTGAGAAAAGATGAGACAATAGTTGTACTCTCTGCAGATGATTATGCTAAGTTCCTAAGGTACCAAGAATCCTCATAATCTGCCTCAGTTGTAGCTGCTGCCACCTCAGGTAATCCCAACACTTGCCTTGTCTCTTCCGCTTCCAAATGGGTTATTGATTCGGGTGCCACGGATCATATGACAGGTAACTCTAGTCTCCTCTCTACCTTTCAATCCTCTTCTTCCTCTCCCCAGGTCACTCTAGCGGATGGATCCACCTCTAGGGTGCTTGGGATAGGCACTGCTAATCCAACTCCTAAACTCTCGTTGTCCTCTGTCTTGAGCCTTCCCAACTTGTCTTTTAATTTGTCTTTTAAAAAAAAAAATAGTCAAATCACTAATGCTCTTAATTGTTCTATAACTTTCTTTCCTACTCATTGCCTGTTCCAGGATCTTACGACGAAGCAGATTATTGGTAGAGGACATGAGTCTGGTGGCCTCTATGTTCTTGATTCTAACACTCCAAGAACTGTTGCCTGCTTTGGGATGGGTACACCTTTTGAAGTTCATTGTCGTTTAGGACACCCTTCTTTACCGTTGTTGAAAAAGATGTGTCCGCAATTTAGTAAGGTGTCTTCTTTAAATTGTGAGTCTTGTCAGTTTGCTAAACATCATCGAGTTAGTTTGAGTCCTAGAGTCAATAAACGAGCAAATGCTCCATTTGAGTTAGTGCATTCAGATGTTTGGGGTCCATGTCGTGTTATGTCTAAATCTGGATTTCAATATTTTGTTACTTTTGTTGATGACTACTCTCGCATGACCTGGTTATACTTTGTTGGCACTAAAAAAAAGGTTATTCACACAAGGCTAAGCTCCTGGGAGAAGACTACCTCACTTTTTTCATGAGAAGTCGTTCTGAATTGTTTTCTCATTTCCGTGTTTTTTGTGCTGAGATACAAACACAATTTAATATACCTGTTCGTGTATTAAGAAGTGACAATGCTAAAGAGTATTTTTCTGAAACCTTTTCTTCTTATATGCTTGAACATGGTATTTTACATCAATCATCTTGTGTTGACACCCCATCTCAGAATGGGGTTGCTGAAAGGAAAAATAGGCACTTACTAGAAACTGCTCGGGCTCTCCTGTTCCAAATGCAGGTTCCTAAACACTTTTGCGCGGATGCAGTTTCTACTGCATGTTTTTTGATCAACCGTATGCCATCTTCAGTCTTGCATGGTGCAACACCCTATCAGTGTCTTTATCCTCAAAAAATTGTGTATCCTATTCCACCGAAAACTTTTGGATGTACTTGCTTTGTGAGAGATGTTAGGCCTCATATCACAAAGTTAGATCCAAAGTCTCTAAAATGCATTTTTTTGGGATATTCTCTTGTCCAAAAAGGGTATCGGTGTTATTGTCCGTCAACGGGAAGATATCTAGTGTCTATTGATGTCACATTTCATGAAGATTTTCCCTTCTCATCCTCTTCAGAATCCGTAAGCCATGTGCAGGATGATGATGTTCTC